GCTGCTGCAGCAGTACAGGCTGGAGCTGCAGCAGCAGCAGGTGCAGCAGCAGCAGGTGCAGCAGCAGCAGAAGGTATCGATCCATCTGTATTAAAAAGAACAGATATAAAAATGAGGCTGCTGCTGGATTCTGCTGCTGCTGCTGTTTCTTGTAATCGGCTTAGTCTCCCTCTACTCAACCCCAAACAAAAACTCACACTCGTACGATACACATACACACTACTATCACTGCATGCATGCATGCGTGCATGCATGCAGGGATACATATGCATGCATGCATGCATGCATGCAGGGTTATACGTGCATACATACATGCATGCATGAGATATACATTCTATATGCATGCATGCATGCATGCATGTAGAATGCATGCATGCATGCATGCATGCATGCATGCAGATTGTATGGATGCATGCTGTGAGTTTCTTCTGTTCGTTTTATTTATTTTTTTTTTGTTTTTGTTTCTCCTTGTATTATGTATTTACATTTACATTATTACATTTATATTAATATATTTATATTTATATTAGTATTTACTTCTATATTTATATTTATATTTATATTTTATATTTATATTTATATTTTATATTTATATTTATATTTATATTATATTTTGCATGCAGGTGGAGTTACTGGGTCAGCGTCAGCTGCAGCTGCAGCAGCAGCTGCAGCAGACATCGTTGCTGCTAGAGGAGATAGAGAGAAACAACGAGGGTTTTGTTTCTTTGTCTCGGTTGCTGCTGCTCTTCCCGCATGCAAATAAAGCCCCAAACAGAATGCTGCCGCTTACCTTTAATAGGGGGCCTCCTGCTGCTGCTGCAGCTCCGCCTCCTCCTCCTCCTCCTGGTGCTGCTGCTGCTGCTGCTGCTGCTGCTGCTGCTGCAGCACACAACACACCCCATGCAAGCTCAATGCCATGGATACCCTCGTTCGATGTAAGGATGCTGCTGCTGCTAGTGCTAGTGCTGCTGCTGTTGTTGCTGCTGCTGCTGCTGCTGCTGCTGTTGCTGTTGCTGCTGCTGCTGTATTTTCTGTTTTTTATTCAATTGGCTCTTTCCCCTCCTTAAACGTATAAATCTATCACCAACAGCAGCAGCAACACTGTGTGGTTTCTTCTTCTCCTGCTGCTGCTGCTGCTGCTGCTGCTGCTGCTGCTGCTGCTGCTGCTGCTGCTGCTGCTGCTGTGTTCAGCCTTTGCAGGAAGGGGGCCATCCGGGTGCTGCTGGTTGCCGGCGAGTGGGCAGCAGCGAGGCGCTGCAGGGCGTAGACAATCACCAGT